CTGGCTGCCTCCACAGAGTCTTTGTTGTGGCTCATTTCCATCCATCTGGCCTTGGGGGGTGCCCACCCAGCTCACAGGGCCTTGCTGTCATGTTCCTGGTACCTGGCGATGTCCCCTTGGTCTCCTTTGATTGGACCAGGGGTGACATCTGTTCCCAACAGGGCCAATTAGATTCTCTCTCTATGGAGTTAGAACTGGGAGGTGGCTGGGCACGGCCTGAGCTGGTCCCCGGAACAAGGGAGATGTGAACCCCGGTGCTGGCGGGGTGGTCATGTCCACAGGGAATGGGCGAGGCCCGGCTGCAGAGGGAGAAGGATACGGAGAGGCGCGAAATACACAGAAAGGACTGCCAGGGTGCCTGACCCCCTTTCAGGACTAATTCTAGTTCTTTGAGGGTTCTGGCTGTCCATGGGGTCCACAATAGTCCAGTATCCTACCGAGAAGCCCCCTCTCCGCTTAAGCTAACTTGAGTGGGTTTCTGTTACTCGCAACTTCCATCGGTCAAGACCTTGCCGCAGATCTCCCCACGGGCAGGGCCTGCACTGCCCCAAAGAAGTCCTGCCAAGGTAAGATGTGGAACTCACGCTTGTACCCTTCCTCTCCAAGGCCAGCAAACTCATGCCCCTCAGAGCCTGAGGGCCTCACAGCTAGCACCTGTCCACTCAGGGCGGTCGCCATCTTTCCCGTCCTTTTAGCGCCCCTGTCTAAGCCATGCCCATCACAGGACGGTCCCTCCAGGTCTCCTGACTCCAGTAGTTAGTGGTCTTTGCTGCCAGGCTGAGTCTCAGTGACATTCTGCAGCCGCTGGATGGGTGTGGTGGGAACAAACGAGAAACTGGAACTCCCCAGTCTTGGCTCTTGATGTCCAGCTCAGGAGACTCCAATGAAAACAACTGGTGAGGGAGACACTGGTGTGAGTTCAAGACCCGTCAGTACGGCAGCCACGTCGAGATGGGAAAGAAAGACCTTGACCTTTGCATTGACTGATCCCGCCCCACCATCTGCACTCACACGTGTGGTCCTCCCACCAGCTCACCTTGGTTCTGAGCGAGCGAGTGAGTGAGAGGGGCCTGGAGTCTCTCCAGGGTGTCCCGACCTGGCCCACGTGCTCCTTTTTCCGGGTCGGGCCTCATTATGACCAGAAGGACCTTCTCCGTCTCAAACTCTCCATGACTTACTCCTGCCTGGGTGGCAAACAGGACCCTTTGCTGGGATTTCCAAGGACATCAGCGGCCAGTCCCTTCCCAGGAAAACTCGTAGGTGCATCTTGCTCCTTTCCCATCCTCCTGGACGCCCTCTCGGGATCCCACTTTGCCCATGACACACCATCTTATTCAAATTCAAAGGTTATTTTTTGGAAGTTAGATTCTAAGATTGCACAACGATGGAAAAGTTGATCAAAATTAAACTTTTCTGTCTCCCTTTTTACTTCGTTGGCCCTGATAACAATAACATTAGCGAATACTTGCCATGTGCCTGGCCTGTTCTAATTATTTTCTGTGCATCTCTCCCTGAGGGAGGGAGATGCCATCATCATCACCCCCATTTTACAGATGGGGAGCTGAACACAAGGCCAAGAACTTGGAAGTGGAGGAGCCGGGACTGGAAGCCAGCCCCACTGGTTCCAGATGGCACCAAGCAGCAAGCTACGGACTCCGTCTGCCACTTGAATAACCCCACCTGGGAGGCAGTTGTAGCTCAGAGAGGTCGGGGGACTGGAGCAAAGGCACACAGCTGCTGCTTGATGGAGTGAAGTTTCAAACTCATCCGTTGGGATGCAAAGATGCTGCTCCTTCTGCTGGGCCATCTGGTTAGCTCCCTGGAAGGACGACGCATCTTTTATTGAGTGTCTGCTTGGTGCCAGGCGCTGGGCTATGTGTTTTCATATATCTTATCTGTTTTAAAACCTGGAGAGGCTTTAAAACACGTCTGCACGTTCTTTGATCGCCACCTATTGAGAAATATGCTCGATATCCTCTCTCCTTGACCCTTGGCAGGCTCCATGATTCGACCAAGAGTATGGCGGAAGTGGCGTTCTATGACTTCCAATGGCAGGTCATAGAAGGTCATGCACCTTCCGCCTGGTTCTCTTGGGAGGCTTGCTCAGGAGAGCCTTCCTGGGGACGCCACACGGAGGCCCTTCAGTCTGCGGCCCCCGCTGAGCTCCCGCCACGTGGGTGAACCATCATGGATGTCCAGCCCAGGTGACCTTCGGGTGTCTGCAGCCCGGCCAGCATCTGACGGCAGCCACATGACAGACCCCCCAAGGAAGAGCCATCCAGCCAGCCTGGGCCAGGTTCCTCCCCTTCAAAGTACTGAGCAAAGTACAGTGCTTGCTTTAAGCCACTACTTTTTGGGGTCATTTGTTACATAGCAATAGCAAGCATGACGTCCCATCTGAGACATGTTAGCCTGACTGAGACATTAAAAGGAAATGAAATAGCTCAGAAACCCCCACTGGGTTCACACTGCAGCAAACCCAAACACCCCAGTCCCCTCAGGCCCTCTGATTTAGAGGCCAAGGTCACGGGCTGTGGCCCTGGACTGCCTGAGTTGGAGTCCCAATGCCACCACTCAATAGCCAAGCGACCCTGGGCAAGTGCCTTCACCTACTCGAGCCTCAGTTTCCCCATCTATGAAAGAAGGCGGATGAGAACCCCTCCCGTCACCGGGTTGTGAGCAGTTCACAGGCCAATGCCGGTGGAGCCCTGTGCCCAGCGCCCGGCACGTGTGGGTGCCTGCTGAAGTCAGCGGGTAGCGGTGGGCACGGCCAGAGGCCAGGCCAGGGAGACTCAGCAGGACACATGGGCAGATGACCAGAGGGAGAGGAAAGGAGAAACTGAGGGAGAGAAGGGGGTGAGGGGCGGAAGGTCCCGTGGTGTGCCGGGTGTTCGGGCAGTAGCTGCCTGGCTGGACGGGAGTTGGTGGCTCGGCCGGGGGACGACACTGTAGAGAGGTACCCTCAGGTTGCAGCTCTGCCAACGGTGCCCCTGGAACAGCCGGCTGGGAGGGGCCATCCTGCACAGTAAGGAGCCTGCAGAGTTGCCACCAAAAGCGTCGGCAGGAGCTGGAGGCCCCGGTCAGCAGAGCTGTGGACCCTTCTTTATCAACCTCCCCCACCCAAATACTGAGCACACGGGGGATCGGATCCTGCGTGCCTTCCCTTCCCCTGTGCCTGGGTGGGGACCCCGTTTATCCCACTCCCCTGTACCCGAGCTTTACTGCTACACAAGCTAGCAGCCAAGTGGGCGAGAGCATGAGTTCAGATCCCAGTTCCTCCATTCAGGAGCTGTGTGGCCTCGGGAAAGCTACTGACACTCTCTGTGCCCAGTTTCCTGATAACAGCACCAGCCTCAGGCGGTTGTTGGGTGGCGGTGGATTTGACGGGATGCTGTGTGTGGGGCCAGGTGCTTGAGAGGCGTCTGTTAATAATGCAGGTCTCTTCTCCCTTTGGGTTTGCCCTTGTCAAACCGAGGACCACTGTTCTGGAACAGTCCATCGTGTTCACCACTGAATGCCCCAATGCTTGGAACAGAGCCCGACACACAGTAGGTACTTTTAATAAGTATTGAATGAATGAATCTTGAGTTGAGAACCATGCTTCAAAACTGAAAGAAAGAAAAGTAAAAGAAATGAAAAAAGATTTAAAAAGAAATAGCATTATTCTTCATCTGCATTTGAGCTGCACCAAAATCTTGGGGACAGGTTTCCGGCTTCTGAATCCATGTCACCCCTGCCCTGCCAGTCACCGAGGGGTCTTCTTCCCTCCTCCCTGCCCAGCATGCTCTGACCCCTCTGGGCACTCCAGACTCTGGGATCCCGGAGGGGCCCTGTCTGTGCCGGCTCCCGCTGCATCACCCAGGGGCCGGCAGGGAGTCGATGGGAGGGTGTGGGAGGAGCGCATGATGTGTGAGCTGATTCCTGCGTCTTCATGTGGGGACCTGAGGACAGCCTCCTCCCACCCTTGCCTGCACACAGTAGGGCCACACTGTGTGATGGAGTGGAGGCGCCGGGAGCCCTGCAGCTCCTCCAGCCTTGGTTGCTTCGGGTGCCAACGGTGTCTTGGATTTCCATGTTTCAAAGGCGATTTCTTCCGGCTCTCAATTGCTTGCTGTATTGACCTGCACAGGTTAAGGACGCTAAATGCCTGTGGGCAAAATGCGGCAAGAGCACGGCCTGGACCTGCGCTGCCTACTCACCAGCTGTGGCACCTGGGCTCTCTCCTCTCCACACCTTCATTCCCTGGTCTGTGGAATGGGCTCTGTTCCACCTCCCTGGATTCCTGTGAGCGCTGCTGGGACCAGGAAGGCAAAGCGCTTACCTGCCTCAGCCAGGAACGTCCCCGAGTCTTATTTCTTCATCTGCACCTTGGGAATAGTGTGTGTGTGTGTGTGTGTGTGTCAGCGCGGCAAGAGTGAAGTTGTCACCCCACGTGTAGAGGATGGGAATAAATTTAGCAAGCGTGTGTTCCGCGCCTCGGTTTACGGAGCCCACGCCCTTCCCGATGGCATTTGCTGCAGTCCCAGGAGGTCGCCTCTCTATTCCCATTTTCCAGCTGAGCCGCAGAGAGACGCGATTCGGTAAATTTGTGAACCCCTGGTGGAAAGTGCTTGGTACCACTCCGGGCGCGGGGTAAGCGATACTTTTATTGCCACGACGTGGAAACTGAGCACGTCCTCTTCTCAAGCTGAGCTCTTAGGCCGCGGGCACCCGCGCCGCCCCAGGTCCACCGGGCTCGCGGGGCGGGGCGAGCCTGAGGGAGGCGGGGCCGGGGCGGGGCGAGCCTGAGGGAGGCGGGGCTGGGGCGGGGCGAGCCTGAGGGAGGCGGGGCTGGGGCGGGGCGAGCCTGAGGGGGCGGGGCCTGGGAGGGGACAGGGCAGGGCGGGGCCGGAGGACGGAGGGGGCGGGGCCATGACGGCACGGCCCTATCAGCATCGCTGGCCGCCGAGGGGGCGTGGCCTCCGGGCTCCGGGCAGCCTACAAGAGGCGGCGCGCGGGGCCCCCAGACCCACTGCATCCCTCTGCGGCCGGGTTGTCCTGTATCCCACGGCGGGCTCTCTCTGCCTCCTGTATCCGCTGCGCCAGCTGCGTCCGCTGTACCCACTGTGCCCGTGCTGCTGCTGCCGTCGCCGCTGCTCGACGCGGGGGACGCCGGCGAGGTGGTGATTGGAGCCCTGCGGAGGTAAGTGTGACTTAGATTCTTCCCTTCTCTGGAAGCGGCGATCAGCTCCCCGGTCATCTCTGAGGAGCCGCCAGAGCAGATGCCCTCTGTTAGGCTTACTAGGTGCAGGCGCTAAGCTGAGCGCGCTACCTGCATCTCAGAACGGTGCTCAGCAGCACGCCCTTTCACAGATGGAGAAACTGAGGCTCAGTGAGCCCAAGTCATCTGGCCAAGACCTCACAGCCAGGAAGTGAGGGACTCAAAGCTGGTCTGATCACAGATCTCTGCTCCCAGAGGCTGTGTCCTCGTGTCTTCCTTGTGCAGTGTGCTAGCGTCTGTTGCCTTCCTTTGTACACAGTGGACGTCAATAAATGGAAAGCTGATGGTGTGGCTGTGGCAGGAGTTTGACTGTGTTCTACCCACGTGCGGAGGGGCCAGGGTACTCCTAAGGGCATGTGGATTCCCTCTGCAGTTTACAGGGCCACGCCCCTTTAAGATTTCATTTGCAACAAACCTGCAAGTTAGCCTTCCTCTTTCCCTATTTCAGATGAAGAGACTGAGGGTCGGGAGGTGAAGTGAGTTGTCCAGGCAGAGCTAGGTCTAGGACACATCTCTGTCTCCCCTCGAAGCTGTAGGTGGACGTGTCCAGGCATGGGGCGTGTCAGAGTTCCTGCAGGTTCGGGAACACGTTCCTGGGTCTCTTCAGCCAGAGTAGGCATCTGCACAAACTCCTTGTAGAGGAGAATTGTGCCGGGAGCCAAGGGCTCAGCTCTGGAGTCCTGGGGAGAACAGGCTGCCCTAGATGGACAGAGCCAGGGCCAGTCCCTCGTGCGGTGCAGACCCGGAGCCTCCCTTGCCAAGGGCTGGGCTGCTGGACAAGCCAGAAAGGACTTAGCCGATGCCTGCTCGTCAGAGTCTAACTTGAATTGGGTATCTTTTAGCCAAAAGCTGAGTTGCTGCTCTGGTTGAGAGAAGCTGCTGGGAGTCTGTGCAAATGCCCAGCTCACCTTCCAGCCAAGAGTAGGCTTGTGAGTTTCCACCTTGAGCCTTTGGGCTCCTTGCCCTGGCAGAACAGGGTGAGCCTGCCTTCCTCAGCGGGGTCAGGGCATCTAGGGTCTGGAGTCTGACAGGCGAGAGACCAGGGTCCTGCAGAGCCAGACGAGGGGTGTGCCCCCCCTCTCCCCCAGATAGACCGAAAGTGGACCTCCCCGGGCTCTTGGTGTTTGTGCACTGAATTTGCCGCTTCTGCCCCTGATCTAGCTGTTTCCACCTGGGGGCAGGATCAGAAGCCGTGGGAGCTGTATTGCTGGTGTGGCAGGTGTGAAGCCCCGTGTTGTGCGCTTTACCTGTATGATGGTCCTCGCAACACACCTGGGCAGCAGGCTGCTTGCTCTCCATCTCACAGATGAGGAGAGCGAGGCTTGGAGAGGCGAAGTGCATGCTCAAGGTCCCCTAACTGGTGTGTGATGTTGTCACCCCCAGGTCCGTCTGGCTGCACACCCTACACGCTTAACCGCCGGGTCCTGCCTCCTTTCAGACCCTTCTCTGCCCGATCACTACCTCTGCCTGTGGACCTGACCTTCACACGGGCATTTGTCCAAGAGGGGCTCCGGGCAAAGCAGGAGGCACCAGAGTTGAGGCCAATTCTCAAGTCCCTGACAATGCCCCCAGGGGGGAGAATAAAGAGAACGATTTTGATTTTTACAGAATCTCTTAAAAAGTAAGAGTAGGAATAGTAATAATAACATTTATAAAGTCATCCCAGCAGCTGACATTTATCCGGCGCTTCTACGGGCCAGACGTGCCCAGGGTTTCACACGGATGAGCTCACTGGCTTTTTTACGAGGTGGGCGCTGGACTGTCCTCCTTTTTACGAGGAGGAAATGGAGGCTCAGCATGATTAAAGCGTGTACCCAACACGACACAGCCAGGGCGGCAGAGAGCTGCCATCCTGGCTGGGCCGCACCCCAGATTCTGGAAGAAGGTGCTTGTCCAGTGCCAGCCACAGAATGTCACAGCAGAGCTTTCTGCTACTCAGGGCTGCTTGTGCCCTGTGGGGTCTGCATCCCTGGCCCCGGTGGGGGGTGGGCCTGGAGAGGGAATGCGCTCACACGGGGGCTTCAGTTCCACTCTGCCGACAGGTACTGGTATCAATGCGCAGAAGGCCCTGCCCCAGGGCCCAGCTCAAGGCTGGCTCCCCCAGCCCTGTCTCTGGACTGGAGCGGAGAGCTGGCTTGGCAGGGGAGGGCCTGGAGCCTTGGCAGAAGAGCATGATCCTGCTGAGCCCCCTTCTCCTCTCCCTCCAAGACCCCACGGTGTATATCTGGCTTTTGTAGGTTGCATTTGAAAACTGGCTTTTAGAGGCAGGACCCCCAACGCTGACCTCTTTGGCCCCGCGGGAGCTGGAACGTTTCTTTTCTCTGTCACCAGTGTAATTTACTGTGTATGGGAGGTGCCTCTGTGTCTGCTCGCTCCCGACCTAGGAGGCTTTTTTTTTTGCAGACTCACTGGTTTTTGATCAGTCCCAGATGTGCAAACCGAGCATCACTCAAAGGGGCTGATGGCTTGTCAAGAATGGAAAATACAACACAGGCGTCATTGCATTTCATCTTTGGTTCATTGAGCTGAATAGATGCTGGGACCTTTGTGGGAAGGGGATCCGGAGCCCCTCGTAAAGTCCTGAGTGGAGCACGCTGTGTTCTGGAACTGGGAGGGTTGAGCAGATCTGAGTGGCGGCTGGTAGGGCCAGTCATGCCCTTTTTTCCCTTGAATAAAATTGTTTCATTGTGGTAAAATTCACATAAACATAAAATTTACCATTTTAACCATTTTAGAGTATACAGTCAAGTGGCATTTAGCACATTTGCAGTGTTATGCAACTATCACCACTATCTTAATTCCAGAACATTTTCATCCTCCTAAAAGGAGGCCCCGTAGCCATGTTGAGCAGTCACTCCCCATTCTCTCTGCACAGCCCCTGGCAACCACTATTCTGCTTTCTGTCTCTACGGATTTGCTTACTCGGGACAGTTCATGTAAAAGAAACCATACAGTAAGGGCCTTTTGTGGCTGGCCTCTTTCACGGGGCATGATGTTTTCGAGGTTCATGCATGTCATAGCCTGTGTGGCGCTTCATCCCTTTTAATGGCTGAGTAATATTCCACGGTGTGGATGGAGCACATTTCGTTCGTTTATCCATTTTTCCATTGATGGACATTTGGGCTGCTTCCACCTTTCGGTTCCTGTGACTGACACTCCTATGAACATTTATGTCCATGTTGCTGTTTGAACACCTGTTGTCATTTGTGGAGGGTCTACAGCTGGGAGTGGAATTGCCAGCTCACATGGTAACTTTGTGTTAACTTGTTGAGGAGCCCATGTCCTCTTTCTTGACTTCCTTCTTGAAGAAGCGTCAACTCGGGTCGTCTCGTTCCAGCATGAGTCAAGGCCCTCTGCCACCGGTGCAGGGAAATCTGGCGACTGGGCGTTTGGCAGAAGTGTTGACATTCCACCCAGGGTCACAGCAGCAACTGGCAGAGAATCCTGTCTCAGACGTTGTCCTGTGTGGGCCATGCTTTGTACCCTAGGCTGTAGAATTGTGGGTACTCACACACACCCCCCTTTCAAGGCTGTGAGGACAGACAGTTTCTCGTGGTCCAGCCCGAGGGAGGTTTGTCTTCTCTGATTGGCTCAAGTGCTGTGTCAGCTTAGACAAAAACCCACAGATCCAGGGGAAAAAGAAAAGTCCTAACGAGGATTATGCAACTTCTGGACCGTTGTTTAAAAAATATCATAACTTATGAAATCCCACATTTTCAGTCCGAATTTCTGGACCACATCCCATTGTGAGTCCAGGATGGCAGCGTTCCAGAAGGGAAAAGAATCGAGCTTACATTTTGCTTGCAGTCAACTGGTCTTGGAATTGACCCTGACCCAAAGTTCTTTTGGATGGGGAAAAAAACACACTCAGATCCCTCTAGGACCAGGAGCCAGCATCCAGCTGGCATCCGCTGAGACCAGCTTGATAAGAGCTGAAGTCCTTCCAGAGTAAAGAGGCAGCCGCCTTCTGCTGGCAAGGACAGGTGACGGTGGGTGGGTGGGCGGGGAGTTGACGAGGTCCCAGGTGAAGTGACCGTGTGTGCAAAGGCCTGGAGGTGGGGAGGGGCCTGGTGCCCGTGGAGAATGGCAAGGAGTTTGGTGTGTCCAGAACCTAAGGGTCAGGCTCAGGGCAGCAAGGATCTGCTCTGTGGGTGGGGGTCTCAAAGCGGGGTCCCTGGGCCTGCAGCAGTGCCCCGGAAATGGATAGAAATGCAGGTTCTCAGGCCCCGCCCCAGACCTCCTGAATCAGAAGCTGTGGGGGTGGGGCTGGCAGTGTGTGTTTTAATGAGGTTTCCAGTACTTTCTGGTGCGGCTCCGGTGGGAGACCCACTGCCCTAGAAAGCCCACGTGGACTTGCCCGGGGCCCTGGCACAGACACGGGGGCCTGGCTAGTGGGGGCAGCTGTGAAGCTGCGTGGAAGGCTCTGCCTGGCGTGACCAGAAAGAAGTCACATGGCAAGAACGGAGTGAGCGGCTGGGAGCTGGAATGACCCCCTCCGGCCGGAGTCAGAGGCCCCTTGAGAACAGTTGTTGGCGGATCCGTACGCCTTTCTTCCGGAAGAATGCTCGGCCTGTTGGCGCCTGGTGCTCTGGGGCCCGAGCAGTCATCCCAAGATTCTAGCATCTTTCTTCCGAGTGTGTTTAGTGCCCCGTGCGCCCCAGAGCTTGCGAAATGCATCTATTATGGCCCCTAAATGCCCCCTCCGAGAGAAGGAGTTGTTTCCTCAACAGCTTTTCAAACAGATCTGTACATGCGTGTGTGTCTGTTGCTGCCAGCCCCGCGCCCTCCTGCCCCAAAGCAGCGCCCCACACAGCCGGTCTGTTCCCGTCGGGAAGCCCCGGGCCTGAACACTCTGTTTATTCCCGGGAACCTTCAAGGCTCGGTCTTCACGGGGACTGAAGATATTTTCAGCTTTGGCGTCG